CTCCACGACTTTAAACATGAATGGGTGTTGGACTTTGTCAAATGCTTTTTCGGCATCTAAGGAGATGATCATGTGATTTTTCTCCTTCAGTTTGTTTATGTGGTGGATTACACTGATGGATTTCCGTATGTTGAAGCACCCTTGCATGCCTGGAATGAAACCTACTTGGTCATGGTGGATGATACCTTTGATGTGTTCTTGGATTCAGGTTGTAAGCATTTTATTGAGTATTTTTTGCATCAATGTTCATAAGAGAGATAGGTCTTAAGCCCTCTTTTTTTGTTGGGTCTTTGTGTGGTTTAGGTATCAAGGTGACTGTCGCTTCATAAAATGAGTTTGGTAATGTTCCTTCCGTTTCTATTTTGTGGAATAGTTTGAGGAGAATTGGTGTTAGCACTTCTTTGAAGGTCTGGTAGAATTCTGCGCTGAAACCATCCGGCCCAGGGCTTTTTTTGGAGGGGAGACTGTTAATGACTGCTTCAATTTCCTTGGGGGATATAGGGCTATTCAGTCTTTCTAGATGGAATCTATCAAGAAAATTGTCCATTTCATTTAGATTTTCAAATTTTGTAGCATACAGGCTTTTGTAGTATGACCTAATGATTGGATTTCCTCAGTGTCTGTAGTTATGTCCTCATTTTCCTTTCTTATTTTGCTGATTTGGATAGATTCTCTCTGCTTTTTAGTTAGTTTGGCTAAGGGTATGTTTATCTTGGTTGATTTTCTCAAAAAAAAAAACCCCAGCTTTTTGTTTCATTGATTCTTTGAATAGTTTTATTTGTTTCTAATTGATTGATTTCAGCCCTGAGTTTGATTATTTCCAGCTGTCTGCTACTCTTGTGTGTATCTGCTTCTTTTTTTTTTTTTTCTAGGGTTTTCAGTTGGGCCATTAAGTTACTTGTATGTGATGTTACAAATTTCTTCTTTAAGGCACTTAGTGCTATAAATTTTCCTCTGAGCACTTTCAATGTGTCCCATAAATTTGGGTATGTTGTGCCTTCATTTTCATTGAATTCTAGGAAGTCTTTAATTTCTTTCTTTATTTCTTCCTTAGCTGTCATCGAGTAGCAGGTTTTTCAGTTTCCATGTGCTTGTCGGCTTTTTTTATTTCCATTGTTGTTGATGTCCAGCTTTAGTCCATGGTGATCCGACAGAATACAAGGGATTATTTCTATCTTTTTATATTTGTTGAAGCTTGCTTTATGACCAACTATATGGTCTATTTTGGAGAAGGTTCGGTGTATTGCTGAAAAGAAGGTATACTCTTTTGAGTTTGGGTGAAAAGATCTGTAGATGTCTATTAGATCCATTTGATTTAGGGACTCTGTAAGTGCTTTTATTTCCCTTTTTGGTTTCCATCTAGTTGATCTGTCCCTTGGTGAGAGTGGGGTGTTGATGTCTCTCACTATTAAAGTATTAGGATCAATGTGTGATTTAAGTTTTAATATTGTTTCATTTACAAATGTAGGTGCTCTTGTATTTGGGGCATAGATGTTCAGAATTGTGATGTCTTCTTGGTGGATTTTTCCTTTGATGAGAATGTAGTGCCCCTCCATGTCTTTTTTGATTAGTTTTGGTTGAAAATCTATTTTATTAGATATTAGGATAGCCACTCTTGCTTGTTTTTTGGGTCCATTTGCTTGAAAAACTGTTTTCCATCCTTTTACTCTGAGGTAGTGTTTATCTTTGTTGCGTAGGTGTGTTTCTTGGATGCAGCAGATTGTTGGATCCTGTTTCCGCACCCATTCTGTTAGTCTGTGTCTTTTTATTGGAGAGTTGAGTCGATTGATGTTGATAGATAATAATGACCATTGAATGTTATTTCCTATTATTGTGGAGTTGGCGATGTTACTGTGATTCATTGCTTGTTTTCTTTTGATATTTGTTGGAAATTATCTTTAACCTATGTTTTCTTGGGTGTATTTGTTTTCATTGGATTGGAATTTTCCTTCTAGTATCTTCTGTAGGGCTCGTTTGCTGTTCAAATATTGCTTAAATTTAGTTTTGTCGTGGAATATTTTGTTTTTACCATCTGTGTTGCTTGAAAGCTTTGCTGAGTATAGTAGTCTTGGTTGGCATCTGTGGTCCCTAAGAGCCTGCATGATATCTCCCCAGGCCCTTCTGGCTTTCATAGTTTCAGATGAGAAGTCCGGTGTGATTCTGATAGGTCTACCTTTATATGTTACTTGGCCTTTTTCCCTTGATGCTTTTAGTATCTTTTCTTTGTTCTGTAGATTAAGTGTTTTGACTATGATGTGGCATGAGGAGTTTCTTTTCTCGTGTAGTCTATTTGGTGTTCTGTAAGTCTCTTGTATGTTTGTGGACATCTCTTTCTTTAGGTTGGGGAAATTTTCTTCTATGATTTTCTTGAAAATATTTTCTGGACCTTGGAGCCTGGAATTCTCTTCTTCGTCAACTCCTATTATTCTTAGATTTTGCCTTTTCATGGCGTCCATGATTTCTTGGATGTTTTGTGTTTGGGATTTTTCCGATTTTACTTTTGCGTTGAGAGAAGTATCAATTTCTGCAAGTGTATCTTGAGGACCGGAGATTCTCTCTTCCATCTCTTGTATTATATTAGTGATGCTTATCTTAGTGGCTCCTTCTCTTTTCTCTAAGTTCTTCAGTTCCAGGATTTTCTTGGTTTGTGTTTTCTTTATTGATTCTAATTCTGTTTTCATGTCTTGCAACAGTTCCTTCATCTGTTTGAATGTGGATTCCTGTGTCTCCAAGATGGTTTCTATTTTTTTGTTTGCTTCCTATCTTAGTGCCACTACTTCTGCCTCCATTTGTTTGGCTATATTTGCCTGTGTTTCTTTAAGAGCTACGTTCACTTCGTTTTTTCTTTGTTTACATTTGGGAGGGTAAATCTTTTAGAGATTTATTTGTTTCCTCTTTAACTGTTTCAATCTGTATGACTATTTCTCTGAGAGTTTTGTTGGTTTCCTCTTTATGTGCCTCAAATAACTGGATAATCATAGCTTTAAAATCATTTTCTTGTGTTTCTGATGAGTTGGAGTGTCCAATAATATTGGGGGTTGCCAGTGAAGCCGTGATATCTTGATTTATCTTTATTTTATTTATCTTTGTGTTCTTTCGCCGACCCCTGGCCATTTGGTTATCCGTAGTATTCACTGTCTGTTCCTGGATTCTGCAGATCAGACTGGTCTTTCTCTGGAGAATTCTTCAGGAAAATGGTTGAGGTCTAGTGGTTTCAGTGTGTGTGTTTGTGATTCTGCTATACCTGTAGAAGGAAAGTTCGCAGGTGCAGAAGGGCAAATGCGGAGTAGTGTGTGTGTGAGCGTGTGCTTGTGGGGATGTCGTAAGGGACAGGGTGTTGGAGAATGAAGAAGCAGGCCTTCAGTGTGTGAGAGGGGTGTTTTGCAGACACTGAAGGTATTGCAGGCGCTTAAGGGATCACAAGCACTGTTGAAGATTGCAGGCGCTATTGTTTTTGCAGGTCTGTGGGACTTTGGTGGTATTCAGCTGGTTTTCTGCCACTGAGGGGTTGGATGGCCCATACAATCACTGGCTGGGCAGCCCTATGTAGTCAGTGCTGTCACTTGCAAACTTGGAATTTGGGAAAGATTGTACTGCGGATCTGAGTCTCTGTGGCTAGCACTCTTTGGGTGTGCACTCTGGCCGGGTGGATTTTCCGGTGGTGTGTGCACTCTGACGGGACCAGGAGGTGAGGGTGGTAGAGGTGCACTCCAAGGGTCCAGAGCTCAGCAAGAGGGCACTAGGCCGGGCGTGGGCTCCTCAGACGTGTGTTCTGAGGGCTGGCGTTCAGCGGTTGGTTACAGCTCTCTGCCACTGCTGAGGGGTGTGAAGCCCAGCCTCTGCTGTCTTGGGACCCAGGCACTGAGCTTTTCGGCTTTGGGATCTAGGAAAGATTGTACTGCAAACTGAGTCTCTGTGGTTGGCGCTCTGCGGTTGGGCCTGCGCTCTGGTGCTGGCAGTGGGTGCACTCCTCCAGTGTGTGCGTTCTGGCAGCTTGGGACATGAGCTCCTCTGCGCCTCTGAAGATTGCTTCAGCGGGATGGGGGGAGGGGACACTCAGCAAGCCCCTGGGTGGGCCCAGGGTGGGATGTGTGTCTGAGGGGTGTAGTTCAGTAGGCGGTTACAGCTGTCCATTGTGGTAAGGGGCCTGGAGCACTGTTTCTGCTGTCTTAATCCCCAGGCTGTGAGCTTTGCACTCAGCTGCCTAGAGCTGTGCGCAGGTTTCCCCGCGAGGGAGGCCTGGACAAGGGAAGGGACTTACTTCCTTCCCAGAGAAGTCCACGCCTGATCTATCTCTATGAGCACTTCACGCTTCTGTGGTGTCCCTTCTCCTTTAGAAATCCCAAAAGTCCAAATTCTAGTTTTGGTTGTCTCTCCACTCACCAATTCCGGAGATTCATGTCCTCTGCCTCTCCAAAACAGTGTGCTCTGCTCGCCGCCATCTTGGAACTCCCTAGAATAGTTTTTTGAATCTGCTGCAGTAGAGCAGTGACCTGTGCAGTATTGACAGTATTGCCTGCTTAGTACTTACTATTCTTGATAGTCAGCTATGCCACCAAAGTAGCATTTTTTTTATTATTATGTTCATTTTGATTGAGTGAACTCTTACTTAGCTACCACATTATACCGCAAAAACAGTTTTGTTGTTGTTGTGTCATAAATCTATCCGTATGTTAAGAATTGTGGTTAAAGAAGGGGCAGTCCATCAGCTATGCTCCACAGTAGGCAAGTAATAGATTTACTCGTGCCTTTGAACCACATTTTTTTTAACTTATAAGTGGATTCAATGCATGCAGCACTGAATGTGTTTGGAGAGTGTGTGCAATTGATGCTTTATTTTTAGTAGCAGTACTGTAGCATTGCAAAACCCAAGCCAGTTTTCTTAACGCTCACTGCCTGTGGACAACACTGTAGGTGATTGACAGGTAAAAGGAGTTAAATGTGCTTGTTCTTGTGTCCACTTGAAAATTGTGAACTAACAACACTGTTTCAACCGATAGATTTTCCAAGAGGTAAAGAGCAGTGATATTGCTAAAACCTTCCGCAAAGCCATCAACAGGAAAGAAGGGATTTGTGCTCTGGGAGGAACTTCAGAGTTGTCCAGTGAAGGAACACAGCATTCCTACTCAGGTAATAATGGCATGAGTATACCTAGGTTAACATAGTGCACTGAGCAGATACATACTGTAATGCCCTAAAACGCTTGTTGTACTAATTAAATATACTAAGTAGTCTTGGTGACATAGTTGGGTCTTAGGTCAGATATTTGCCAGAAAGTCATGGGTAGCTTGTAAGATATATAGTAAATCTGGGTAATGATAGTCTTTATTACAATGGAGTTGTGCAGAGACATAAATATAGTATTTTAAGTATTTTGTAACGTTCCTAAGGATCAGTTAACCTGTTTTATTGTTTTTACTAACTTTGTAATTGATCCCTATTAGCCACTGTGTTGCTTCCACATGTCTTCCATGTGGGATACATTATCTTTTAGCAGGACTATACAGCAATTGTAGGGTTTGGGAACAGATGATTAGCAGATAGTATGAACTGTTTTCTTTTTTACTTCATACAATTTTAGAGGAAGAAAAATATGCTTTTGTTAACTGGATAAACAAAGCTTTGGAAAACGATCCGGATTGCAGACACGTTGTGCCCATGAACCCCAATACTGACGACCTTTTCAAAGCAGTTGGTGATGGAATTGTGCTCTGGTAAGATGCAGGTTTTGTTTGTAGCCAGATTTCCAAAGATTACCTCTATAGGAAAAAAAAATGTATTTGGTTATGGGTGCTTGGTTGTTTCATGTCAGAAAAGAAAGAGAGGACAACTACCCAGATTTTGCCCTTTTCATTTAAAATCTAAATCTATCTGTGAAAGTAAATTCAGTCTTGGAGTGGAGGCCTCTTGATAGGTTAGAACTCTCAGCTTCCAATTTCTCTTCACCCCTGAACAAGCAGAACATTACAACTTTGTCAAACTTAAGTATGTATCTGTTTATTCTGAAGCATCTTGGCTTCCAAAGAAAAGAAGCTACCCTTCAGTTCTCACTCTTCAGTGACATAATTCTGAAAAATGCTTTTGTCACAATGGCTTCTCCCAGAGCCATCAGTGTCTTGACAGAAATGATGTAAGATTATCAACACTGTTCATTGATTCACCTGTTCTCAGAGGCTGTTTTGCTGCAGTTCTCTAAAAATATGCCTCATTATAAGTTGAGGGCTCCTATGCAAGGCTTCCCACTTAGTAGCTGTGTCCTGTGGTACAGATAGTCAATACCTTAACATTTCAGATGCCACTGTGATCTTCATACAGTTTGAACATCCCTAATACAATAATCCAAAATCTGAAACTTTTGTTTTAGTTTTGTTTTTGTTTTTATTAGCATATACTAATTATTCATGATAATGGGTTTTGTTGTGACCTTTTCATATATATTCATGGGTGTGCTTGTGTGATCATAGTTCTAAGCACTGTCCTTTCCTGTCCTCCTACTGATCCCCTTCTGCTTCTCATCTCACCTGCCGTTCTGCTTTCATGTCTTATTTTTTTTTTATTTTTATTTTTTTAGTGACCTGATGAGTTTCATCAGGCTTACTTATAGGAGCAAGGGTTAGAGGCTACTTACAGGTGCATCTGAAACTTTTCAAATTCTGATAATGACACCCCAAGCAGAATACTCCATAGGTAGCCTCAAGTGACAGGTGATAAGCAAAGTATAAGTGCCTCCAAAATACTGCATAAAATTACTTTCTAGGCCAGCAGCACACCTCAGTGGTACAGTAAATGCTTAGCATATTCATGACCTTGGTTACCAAACCAGCACTACCCTGGGCATGGTAACATATGCTTATAATCCCAGCACTCAGGAAGTGGTAGCAGGCAGATATCTGGAAGTTTGAGGCCTACTAAATAATGAGATCCAGGACAGCCAGGGAGAAGTAGAGAGATCCTGTCTCAAAAGCCAAAAAGAGGAGGAGGGGAGGGGAGAAAAGAAAGAAGAAAAACAACAACAAAACCCCATAACCTTAGCACCACAAAAACCAAAAACCAAAGTGTATATTCAGGTTGTGTGAGTGTGTGTGTGTGTGTGTGTGTGTACATACATACACATATATGGAAAATGAATACAAATTTGTATTCAGACCTAGGTACTTCAATATGTTATTATATATGTCCAATCTCCAGTTAGGACATATATAGTTTTTTATGATCAACATGATAAAGATCATCTATTATATTTTATATTATTTTTTATTGTGTGTGTACCTGCTTGGGTTTATGTGTAACACATGTATACAGGTACCTGTAGAGACCAAAAGAAGGCATAAGATCCCCTGAACCTGGAGTTAGAGGCAGTTGTGAGCTGTTCAGTGTGGGTGCTAGGAACCAAACCTAGGTCCTCTGCAAGACAATAAGTGCTCTCAACCTCTGAGCCTTCTCTTCAGCCCCAAATCTACTGCATTTTTTTTAAGTTGCATGAAAGATATTTTATAATAAGCTTTAACACTTGGGAAGATATACAGACTGTCATTTGAAACAGGATTTTGTATGCATCCTGCTTGCCTACAACTTGCTATACAGTCCATGATGGGCTTGAACTCCTGATTCTTTTGTCTCCATGCTCCAGTGCTGGAAATATGAGCTTCTCCATGTTCCACATATGTGGTGCTGGGGATTGAACCGATGGCTCCGTGCATGCTACTTATAGGAACCACATCTCTGAACTTCGTAGACTCTTTAAAAGTAAATCAATGTTTTTTGTTTGTTTTTTTTGTTTGTTTGTTTGTTTGTTTCAGCAAAATGATCAACCTTTCAGTTCCTGATACAATTGATGAGAGAGCAATCAACAAGAAGAAACTTACACCCTTCATAATTCAGGTGTGCAGTGCTCTCTATGTCCTTTTCCATGACACTGTGATTTGAAATAGAGGCCATAGCCTCTGCTTTCTGTTGGCTGTACTTTAATTTTCGGAGCAGCTCTGAATGGGGAATGATTATTGACATTGTATAAAATGATCTGGGTCTCAGAAAGACTTGGGGAGCTTGCTGGAAGTTCACAGGGGCACTGAAGTGCTGGTTCTTATTGAACTCAAAGCCCTATCTACGTTCCTTTCATTACGTATTGTATGAAGATATTACCAAAATAAGGAAAATTATTTAAGCTCTTAGTTGGTGTGCTTAAGGGGTGGATTGTTTCTGTTTTCTGCTGATGGAATAGTAGATTAAACAGCAAAATCCTCTCAGGCAGAGATGTTCTTTGAGATGTACACGTCGGTCATTTCTAGAACTTGGATATATGCCATATGCTGCTGGACTCGAATTTAGTCAATTTTAGAAAAATGACATGGTTCACATGAATATATTTTCTTTGGTTACTTGACGTTTTATTTTAGAATCAGCATGATTCAGAAGCAACCAAATAAAAATAAAAGCTCACTTCCTGTAAAATTCTGCAAATGAATATGAATGAGGCTGAAATTTGTTGTTGCTTTTTAATGTTGAGATCTGCAATTTGTTTTCTGTGAGTGTGGGTGGGTAAAATTAATAGCTTGTATTAATTTCTTCACTTAGTGCTATTGTCAGTGAAGGCAGAAGTGACCTGGGTATGGAAGAAAGGGAAAAATCTGTATAATTTGGCTGTCTTGTAGGAAAACTTGAACTTGGCACTGAACTCGGCTTCTGCCATTGGGTGTCATGTTGTGAACATTGGTGCTGAAGATCTGAGGGCCGGGAAACCTCATCTGGTTTTGGGACTGCTGTGGCAGATTATTAAGATTGGCTTGTTTGCCGACATTGAATTAAGCAGGAATGAAGGTAACACTTGTTTTTATGAAAGATGTATATTGGTGATTTTTTTTCTTTCTCTTCACGAAGATTGTCATGCTTGCATTTAACTGAGGTGAGCGGATTATAACTAGAATGAACATGGAGCTATTCAGAAAAACAACCCATACACCTCTGTTCTTTAGCCTTAAATGTTTGCATGACAGTTCACATTTGATTTTACTGTAAAGACACAAAAACAGAAAGGTTGACATTGGGTGCCTTCCTCAGTCTCTCTCCACCTTAAACATGTGTGTGTGTGTGTGTGTGTTTATGTGCATGTTTATGTGCATGATCATGTGGGTGCTTACAGGTATATATGAATATCATGTAGAGGCTAGAGATCAACATTGTGTGCCCCCTTGAACCACTTTCTATCTTAGTTTTTGAGACAAGGTCTTTCATTGAACCTCCAGCTTATAACTTTGGCAATACTGGCGAGCTGGTGAGCCCCAAGGATCTATCTGGCTCCACCTCCTCAACACTGGGATTACAGATGCACATCACTACACCCAGCTTTTTATATGAATACTAGGGTTCCAAGCACTGGTCTTCCTATTTACATAGCAAGCAATTTGCCAACAACTTCCTCTTTCTGGCTGCATGCTTGCTCATTTATTTGTTTGTTTGTTTAGTGTTTTTCAAGACAGGGTTCCTTGCTATAGCCTTGGCTGTCCTGGACTCGCTTTACAGACCAGGCTGGCCTCAGACTCAGAGTGATCCACCTGCCTCAGTCTCCCTGAGTGCTGGGTTACAGGCATGCCTGGCTTCCAGGCTTAATTTTGAGACAAGGTCTATCACTGAATCTGGAGCTCACCAATTTGGCTAGATTGCCTGTCAGCAAGCCCCAGAGATGTGCCCACACCCCACCTCATCCCTGATTTCACTTCTGCAGCTCAAAGGGTACAGAGTTGTGCCAACACACCTGACTTTTTCACCTGAACATTAGTGATTGAACTCAGTCCTTGTGGTTTCAAAGCAAGCCCCTTGATGACTGAGCTATGTCCTAGGCGCAGAGTCTGATTATCTCAAAACTAGAAGTAGTTCTTAGTAGATTTTACGTCTCTATTACTGAACAAAGAAGACTGAGTGAAACTAGGTATGATGATGGAATTACATGCCTGCAATCCCATTATTTGAGAGGTTGAGGCTGGGAGGTCATGAGATTGAGGCTGGCATGGGCTTATTTCAGAGTAAAACATTCAGAGAGAGAGGGAGAACATGCACACACTTGGTATGACCACTATCATATCACACATTGACTGATGCACTTATGTCTACAAGCACTGGCGGCTTTACTTCGAGATGGTGAGACTCTGGAGGAGCTTATGAAATTGTCTCCAGAAGAGCTTCTACTGAGATGGGCCAACTTTCATCTGGAAAACTCAGGCTGGCAAAAGATCAACAACTTCAGTGCTGACATCAAGGTAACAGTGCAAAAAACTAGAACATTTGGGCAGATATAATGGCTTGGGAGATTTTATCCCATCTTAACAGAGGGGGAAAATTATAGGATATCATCAAGCTCTCTTGCCACTCATGTTTTGAGACAAGCTCTTGCTCTGTAGCACAGGCTATACTAGACATCACTGTTTTGAGGCTAGACAAGGCTAGCCTCAAAAATCACTGTGATTCTGTTTCTACCTATTGAGTACTGGCATACAGACACGTCACCATACCTGAATCATTGTTTTTCCTTTTTTTTTTTTTTTTTTTTTTGTTGTTGTTTGCTTTCTTTTTTGTTTTCAAAAGAGAAACTGTTTCCTGGTCTCAAGGCTGCTATGTAGTTAAGGATGATGTGAGTTGCCATACTCAGTTTTGTGGAATGTTCAGGATTAAAACCAGGGTTTCATGCATGCTAGGCAAGCAGTCTACCACCTGAGCCCATTTTTTTTTTTTTCATTTATGATTTGACTTTATAGCCCAAGTTGGCTTACAGCTCACTGGCCTCAAATCTGCAAGGTTCTTGCCCCTGCCTGAGGAATACATACAGGCATGTGCCAATGTGCCAAGTCAGTGGAATTTTTTTAAAGCCTATTTTGAATATTTTTTATCAAGGTCCCCACTCCCCTCAGGCCAGGTTTCTTTGTGTAGCCTTGGCTGTCCTGGACTCTCTTTGTAGACCAGGCTGGCCTTGTACTCACATAGAGCCAACTGCCTCTACCTCCCCAAGTGCTGGGATTGCAGGCATGCACCACAATATTTTTGAAAAGCAAAGAATTCTTGCATTTATTGATAGTGTGAAGCCTTAACCTCAGTCCCCATCACCATGGGAAAAGGGAGAAAATGAGCTTGTTTTGTTAAGTGTTTTTCTATCCTACAAGGCTAAATGTTATTTTACCAATTATATGTGTTTCTCATTTAAGACTTTCTGTCATTTCAACTTTTAATTAAATAAAAATTAACAAAGCAGGTGTTATTTTCATAAGTTGATATTTATCATGCTTTGTAATGCTATAATGTGTATTCTCTTTCCCTATGCTTCCTGGATTTCTGCTCTATTTCATGCTTGTTTTTTTCTGTCCAGCTTATTGACTTCAGTAATTCAGTGAAGGTAAAGAAACACTTATTAGATTTATTGTGTTGGTGGCACCAATAAATTATAAAGTCATAACAAAATTAAGTTCAAGAGAGATGTAAGACTAGACAGATGTACTTTTCTTGGGAAAGATCTTTCAAATAAGAAGAACAGGGAGAATGCCATAAATTCTCACAAGAGCTGATCTAAGTGTTCTTGCAAGACGAAACAATAAAATGCAGTTACTCTTTGTAAATGTGATCACACTGGTATTTCCAATTGTTTTGTAGGATTCCAAAGCCTATTTCCATCTGCTCAATCAAATTGCACCTAAAGGACAGAAGGAAGGTGAACCAAGGATAGATATTAACATGTCAGGTTTCAATGTAAGTACTGGTGTCCTTTCAAATTCTACAATCTGATAACATTACGGTTTGTTTTTTCTTCTTCTTTCTTTTTTTTTTTTTTCTTTTCTTTTCTTTTTTTTTTTTTATTGAGACAAGGTCTTGCTATGTAGCTCTAGAACTTCCCTTGTAGAACAGGCTGGTGTCACAATCACAGAGATCCACTTGCTTCTGCTTTCTGGGTGCTAGGACAAAAGGTCCCTGCTGCCACACTCAAATAATTTGTATATAAATTCTATCAAAATCTCCATGTAACTTCACCTAGTGGTGTTGACATTTTAAGGGTTTTGTGGAGGTTTGGGGTCTTTTCAATTTTGTTTTATTTTATTTTTTTAAGAATGTGGTGCTTGTGATTGACAGGAGAGAAAGTATCCTGATTTATTTTGATAACTTGTGAGTTCCATAATTACAGTGGCACTTGTTTTTATGAGTCATATCAACCACTCAAAGCTAGTATAGAGAAATATGTACTCTGGCTTATTTGCCATGTGTAGTGACAAAGGGCCAGTCTGTGCATTATTGGAGCTATCTGGGATAGCTTGTCCTCTCTTGAGCTATAATTATAGACATGCTCAGAGGTGTGTCTCCTAGTTTGTTTTAAATCAAGACAAGCTGACCATCAAGGTGAACCTGCAAATCCTTCCTGTTTGATTATTTTCTACTACATCCCTTTGTGCCTTCCCCCAAAATCTATCCGGGATTCTCCCACTGGCTCTAGAATTTAGTCAAACTGCTTAGCATTTAAATTCCTACAAAATATTATCTATTTCTTTTATTCTGCTCCACAAATCTCTTTCCACCCTCATGTTGGCATTTGAGACTTTTCCAAATGCTCCCCCCTCCCCACATATACCCTTTTTGTTTTGGTTTGGTTTTTTCAAGACAGGATCTTTCTGTGTAGCCTTGGCTGTCCTGGACTTAATTTGTAGACCAGGCTGGCCTCTGCCTCACAGAGTGCTAGCACACAACCACTGAACCCAGGCCTCCCTTTTAGCTCTCAGCCCATGGTTTCATGTTTTTTTTTTTCAAATATGTTTCTAAAAGTAAAATCATAATAATAACAATAATAGTAATAATAAGGATCTGGAGAGATGGTTCAGCTGTTAAGAGTGCTTGCTGCTCTTGCAGAGACTAGAGTACTGTTCCCAAGTGCCCACTCCAGGTAGCTCACAACAACCTGAAACTCCAGATTGAGGGGATCCAAATGCCCTATTCTTCTCAGGCATAGAAGGGTTGAAGAAATTTAAGGAAAAAAAATTAAAGTTTTTTTTTTCTAAAATTATCCATAATTAAAATTAAATCTTTAAAGGAGTATAGTTAAAAAGATGAGTTACACCTTTTTTCCCCTCTTCATTTTGCCATGAGGGATAATCCCAATGGAGTGCTTTATTCAATCTGTACACGTGTTCTGGCGCCATCTCGGGGAATTTAAAGGTACTACATATCTTGAAATTCATGTTTTTGTATTAAAAAATGATTTTATAATAGGTACCATGTGTTAGCTGAAGGAAACTACAGTCTTTCACCCAGCCTATGATTGTAAGGGCAAATTATATTATTTTAGGATGGTCTTTAAAAGATGTCTTCTTTTACTTCAACAGGAAACAGATGACTTGAAGAGAGCTGAAAGTATGCTTCAACAAGCAGATAAATTAGGTTGCAGACAGTTTGTTACCCCAGCTGATGTTGTCAGTGGAAACCCCAAACTGAACTTGGCCTTTGTAGCTAACCTATTTAATAAATACCCAGCACTAACTAAACCTGAAAACCAGGACATTGACTGGACTCTACTAGAAGGTAACTTAAAATTTTTCTAATTCTAATATGCAGCCTGTAGCATTAAAACACAGAGGTCACAATGATATAACTCCAACCCAATAAGTTGTTTTTGCAAGAATCTGCTAAAACTAGATGCGGTGGTGAGTGAGAACTAGAAGTTTCTGGATGGAGATGGTGATAGAAACAAAATGTGCAAATATAATAATCTAGTTAAGGAATATGGCTTGGTGCACTCTTGCTTAGCATAGCCAACATCAAAAAGAAAGAAGAAAAGAAAATCCCGATTTTTCTGTCGTTAAACCAGTTGGTAAACAAATGTATTGCTTCAATATTTAGTGCTATATCTTTGGGGGGGGGTCGTTTGAATTTTTTTAAGGCTATTTCAAGAAGAGTTTCATGTTTTGTTTGATGTTGTTTTTCGTTGTTGTTGTTTGTTTTTTAACCTAGTCATCTACTATGAGAGAAATGTTTCATGTGTCTCCGGTTATCCTCAAACTCACTACATAGTAAAGAATGACCTTACTTTCTAACCCTCTTGCTTCCAAGTGCTGGGATTCTAGGCATCATGTGCAGTTTTAAGGGTGCTAGGAATTGAACCCAGGACTTCATGTGCTCTAGGAAGCACTCTACAATTTGAGTTCCATTCTCCAGAGCCTTGAATGTAGTTGTGAGATAGTGTCTCACCCTATAGCTGAAGCTGGTATAAAACAAACTGTGTAGCCCAAGCCTGGCCTCAAACTCCTGGAAATACTCTTTCTTCAACTTCAAGAGGACTGCAAATATAGATACTAGCCACCATATATAACTAGATCACAAAAAGTTACAAATTTAATCTCTAAGTTTCTGTAATTACATTTCATCTATCCATAGTCAGAGTGACATATTAGCATGTGGTAATTATTAGCTCAGAATACAGCATATAAAACAAATGAATAAATAAATGAATACATGCATTGGTGCTGAATATACAAGACATTTAATGAATGAGTACATTTTGTGGATTTTTTACTAGGAGAAACTCGTGAAGAAAGAACCTTTCGTAACTGGATGAACTCCCTTGGTGTTAATCCCCACGTAAACCATCTCTATGCGTAAGCTACCCTATTGCTTTTATGAAGTTATGAATAGTATGAGAAAATGTAGCATAAATAATGACAGCTCCAGAATTATTCTCCATGTTCACTTGTAGCAAATATTCATATTATAAAACATTAGTTATTTCCATCATCTTTTCTAAAATACATAAAAGCCCAAATTCTTTCTTTGCCTGATTTTTGGTGTTAAGAGATAGAATATGTAAATGTCTTAATGGTTCCTTAGGGAACAGGTACTTTAAGTCTCTTAAACAGTACAGGAATACTTGTAGCAGACTACCCATGATTCCCTAAGGCCTTTGGCTTCCTGGCTGGACTGTTTTTTGCTGACATGTAATGATTTATATCCTAAGTATGTTTCCTACCTCGACCATTTTCCTACCATCTGTCATTTACTACATACTAACTGTAGTATTAGTTTTAATCATTGCATTACATTTATATATATGCCAAAATCATATTATTTGTTTATCCACATAGTTGTTTATTATACATCTTTCTGACTCTCATGTAGGGCCTTCATACTGTGTTCCTGAACTTTATAACAGTTTTTTTTTTATTACAACAAACGCACAACCTAACATCATCATCTTCATTTTGATTTTTCAAGACAGGGTTTCTCGGTGTAGTCCTGGTTGTCCTGAAACAACTCACTTTGTAGTTGAGGCTGTCTTCGAACTCACAGAGATCTGCTTACCTCTGCCTCCTGAGTGCTTGGATTAAAGACATGTGCCACCACTGCCTGGCCCTTACTATTTTTTAAAGACAGAACAGGAACTCACTATGTAGCCCTGCCTGGCCTTGAACTGGCTTTATAGACTAGCATGACTTATCACTTACAGAGATTGCACTGCCTTCACTTCACAAGCCTGGGATCAAAGGCGTATGCCACTTTACCCAGCTATGCTCACATACTTTTAAGTAACTGAATGGTCTAGGCTCTATTTTCAGCACAGACTGATTTAGAAACATATGAAGCATGAGTATTGTGACTTTATAGATCCTTTTTGATTTATGCCCCTACTTATGATTACTAATTAAGTTATGTTTCAAATTGTTAGTGACCTGCAGGATGCCCTGGTAATCTTACAGTTATATGAGCGAATTAAAGTTCCAGTGGACTGGAGTAAAGTTAACAAGCCTCCATACCCAAAGTTGGGGGCCAACATGAAAAAGGTAGAGAATCTTGAACTTCTTTGATTTCTGTCTTGTTCTAAAACCTCTAGACCTGGGCTAGAGAGATGGCTCAGTGGCTAAGAGCATTGAACCAGACCACCCAGGTTCAATTCCCAGCACCCACATGGTGGCTCACAACTGTCTGTAACTCTAGTTCCAGGAGATCTGACACCTTCACACAAACATCCCTGCAGGCAAAACACAAATGCACATGAAATAATTTTTTTAAATAATAAATAAATAAACCTTCTAGACTTTAAGTTGCTTCTGGAGGACAGGAACTTGATCTTGGTTTTAAGAAAATACTTACCATTACACAACACACACACACATACACACCATGGAGGGAGATCGTGTAGACTGAACAAATGACAATATTTAACCATTAATTTACTTTTGTACATTTACAGTTAGAAAACTGCAACTATGCAGTTGAATTAGGGAAACATCCAGCTAAATTCTCCCTGGTTGGCATTGGAGGACAAGACCTGAATGATGGGAACCCAACCTTGACCTTGGCTATAGTCTGGCAGCTGATGAGAAGGTATAGTACACAATATTGGCCATTGCAGCTTCACAGTAATATGTGTCTATGAATTTACCTTTTCTATAGTTTCACTGCTTTCAATTAATCATGTAGTTAAAAGAGTATGCTTCCAAGCTCATTGTACTTAGGCTCTGAAATGAATTTACTCTGTGTTTTGGCTCCTCACTGGGAGATGTCATCTTGTGAGTTGCAGAATTGTAGGTATTACCAACCTTTCACAGAAGTCTGACCTGTAGACTTAATCCTGATGCAGTGTCACTGAATAAGATTAGTAGATGGGGGCTGGAAAGATGGCTCAGAGTTAAGTACACTGGCTGTTCGACCAAATGTCCAGAGCTCAATTCCTAGCAACTACATGGTAGCTCATGACCATCTATAGTGAGATCGAATCCCCTCTTCTGGTGCACAAGCACACATGCAGGCAGAATGCTATATAAAGAATAAATAAATAAATAAATAAATAAATAAATAAATAAATAAATCTTTTTTAAAAAAGATTAGTAGATGGTCTAACATAGCTCACTGATTAAAACTTTCAGATGGGTTGCAGCTCTAGCTTCATCATCCACGATATTCTTAGCATTATGGAGGCAATCTCAGACCCCCAAAATAAATAACTAAAAGTGGTCAGAAGCCAGAACAGTGGCTCATACTTAAAATCTCAACACCTAGAAATCTGAGGAGGGAAAATGGCTAGTTTGAAGACAGCTTGGGCTACATAGTGAGTTCCAGGACATCCTGAACTATAAAATGGGACCTAGCCTCAAAAAAAAAAAAAAAAAACAAAACAACAAAACAAATCACAAAAGTTATCAGAAGAAATATGAATGTCTATATGTAACTATTTAGAAATGAAAATCAGGGCCAGCAGGATAGCTCAATGGTTAAAGGCTCCTATACCCTGCTTGACAACCTGAGTTCTGTTCAAGGAATCCATGTAGTGAAGGAACAGAAACATTTCCTGAAGATTGTTCTTTGATTTCCATAGGTATGCCATGACATACATGTGTCCACCTATACACAAATAACTATAATTTTAATATATTTTTAAGACTATATACAAATAACTATAATTTTAATATATTTTTAAGAAACTGAAGATCCCTTTATTTTGATATGCTTTTAATGACTACGAATTTCACACAATGAACTCCAATAACATTCAATCCCACTTCAGCCCTTTCAACTCCTCACTTCTGTTTCTCAGTTTAATGCTTTTTGTTATAACACATTGGGTCCAGTTAGTGATTCCCATATGTGCATAGTGTGGCATCATCCATTTAGAACATGGGAACATACTCAAATCCACACTCCATGATTAAACTGAATTCTGTCACCCAGTAGCATCAACTGCTAACAGAAGGAGTGAGTCCTCATAGGTTTTTTTTCTCCATCCATGCTGGAATGTTGTATCTTGATCTTGTTTGTGTCCTGTTTAGGCAACCAAAGCCGATGTGAATTCACAAGTGGAAGAGCCCTGTCATGTCTAGAGGATGCTGTTTTTTCAGCACTCCTTTCTGAGCTCTGGTCCTTACACTCTTTCCACCCCCAGAAAAATGATCACAAAATAATAATAACACAAAAGCATTCATTATGCCTAGGTACCACCTAAAGCTCAGGGTATCTCTTAGTTAACACCACTACTAGAGTAGTACAAGTGTACTTGCACATGTAAGCTGTGCATGTGTGTTTCTATGTGTGTCTACAGGTGCACACATGACATAGTTCACAGGTAGACAGGCTGGCAAGCTGGATTCTCCTATCTCCAATCTTAATGTAAGAATGCTGGGACTGTGGATACACATGACCACATCTACCTTTTTATGTGGGTTTTGGGTTTGAACTCATGTATCTGGGCTGTAATGATAGTGTTTTTACCCAGTCAGCCATCTCCATAGTCAATATACTCTTAGAGAGAGAGAGAGAGAGAGAGAGAGAGAGAGAGAGAGAGAGAGGGTATGTGTGTGTGTGTGTGTGTTAGGGTTTCAATTGCTGGGACAAAGCACCATGACCAAAAAGTAAGTTGGGGATGTAAGGATTTATTTTGCTTGCACTTCCACATTGCTGCTCATAACCAAAGGAAATCAAGACAGGAACTCCAATAGGGCAGGAACTTGGAGGCAGGAGCTGATGCAGAGGTCATGGAATGGTGCTACTCAACGATTAGCCTGCTTTCTTGTAGAACCCAGGACCACCAGCCCAGAGATGACACCACCCACAATGGGCTGGGCCTCCTATCATTCACTAATTAAGAAACTTTGTTACAGCCGGATCTCACCTCCTTTGAGATCTGTCCATTCTCCTGAAATAAAGATAGAGCCTTTCTCAGGGACTTGGGCTTAGCTATTTGACTAGGGTCACTTGGACAATGCATCCCAGGAATCTGCTGTCTCCACCTGCCCAGAATTATAAATGCTTTCCAGCATGCCCAGTATGTTTTTGTATAAGTGTTGACAATTGAACTCAGATCTTCATGTTTGTCTTTGTAACAAACATGTAAGCACTTTACAAGTTGAGCTATTTCCCAACTCCTCCTTGATATATGCATATACATACATACATACATAAACAATACATACATATATAAACACACATAAATATACATAAAATAATATGACTCTGCACAAAGTTAATTTTTCCTGTGTGTGTATATATATATATATATATATACTAATTTTGTGTAGATATATAATTTTTATGCCTATGTATGAAGAGTATGTGTGTGAGTGATTATAAGAAGGCCTATACAACAGTCTTGGATGGAAGTCAGAGTATAACTTTTAGGAATCATTTTTCACCCTCCACAATACAGGAATCAAATTCAGTTTGTCAGGCACATACATTAAGCTGTTTTAAACACTGAGCCATCTTGCTGGCCCTCATGAAGTCTTTATGATAACAAGATACATGAGGTTTTTTTCTGATGTTTGCATTTTTCTTTGTAGACTAGATTGTGACTTTCTTCTGCTAATTCTTTTAGATATACCCTTAATGTTCTGGAAGATCTTGGAGATGGTCAAAAAGCAAATGATGACATCATTGTAAACTGGGTGAACCGAACATTGAGTGAAGCTGGAAAGTCAACTTCCATTCAGGGCTTTAAGGCTAGTATACTGATTATTATGGAAGATGTTTGCTATATGATATCAGTTACTTTAAGGACAACCTTGGGTTAATTTGTAAGAATTATTTTTGAACTAATGACAATTTTTTCCATTTCTTGGTCAGGCTTGTATAAAGAAGCACATGTTAAATTGTAAATATTGAAATGCTTAGGTTTGTTCCCTTTTTCATAATAGGACAAGACGATCAGCTCCAGTTTGGCAGTTGTGGATTTAATTGATGCCATCCAGCCAGGCTGCATTAACTATGACCTTGTTAAGAGCGGGAATCTAACAGAAGATGACAAGCACAATAATGCCAAGTAAGGGGAACATAGTGGTGTCATACAGAGAACACTGGTGTTACAGCCAGGCAGATCCACTCTAATCCCACTTCTCTCACTAGATAGTGGGGACATCTAGGGAAAATCTCTGCTTTTGTTTGTGTGTTGATTTATTTGTTTGGGGTTGTTTGTGTCTTCGTTTGGGGTTGTTTCTTTGTTTGTTGTTTTGTTTTTTGAGACAGGAATTCTTTTTATAGCCTTGACGGTCCAGGACTTACTTTGTAGACCACGTTGAACTCAAACTCACAAAGATCTGCCTGCCTCTGTCTCCTGAGTGCTGGGACTAAAGGTGTGTGCCACTACCACCAAGCAATCACTTTCTTTTTTTTTTAAGGCTTTAACTTTACTTTTAATGGCTTTATTGCGATCTAGCTCACAGACAACAGTTCACTCATTAATGTATAAAATATAATGGTTTTGACCATGTTCACAGTGCTATCTGACCATCACCACAATCAATTTTAGAACACTGTGATAATATAAAACAGAACCTTCCTGAGCATCAAAAGTCATGCCCACTACTTTCAAGCACCCAGCAAACCCAGCTTCTAGCTCCATTTGCCCATCACTAAACTCTATTTTATCTTGCTACTGTTTCACATAAATTATATAACCCTTTCCCCAACATCTTCCCCTCACAAACCTCCACGTAACTATCCAAGCCTCTGTCCTTTTGTGAGAATAACTTTATAGAGCACACAGAAGACAATGAAATACCGTGCAGCCTCTAATAAGAACCAAATCCTATCATTTGCAACAGCATGGGTGAATATGGAGATGATGTTAAATTCCAGACACAGAAATACAAATATGGCATGATATATTATCTGTTAGGAGAATCCTCCTTTTTTAGTTTTTCTAGACAAGGTTTCTCTGTATAGCCCTGGCTGTCCTTGAACTCCCTCTGTATACCAGGGTGGCCTCAACCTCATAGATCCACCTGCCTCTGCCTCCCTAGTGCTGGGAAAGCCGTGCACCAGAAACATCTTTTTAAACCTATATTGTTATTTTATGTGTGTTTGGCGGGGTGTTGCCTGTACCACTTGTGTGTCTCGTAGTTACATAGGCTGGAAGAGTGAGTCAGATCCCCTGAAACTGGAGTTACAGATTGTTGTGAGCTACATTGGTAGGTACACGGAATTGAACCAATGTCCTATGGAAAATCAGCTGGTGAGCCATCCTTGAGGAAAATATCTTTAAATCACAAGGTAATCACAAAAACAAAACAAAACAAAAAGAAACAAAGATGCTTTTTACCTTAGAAGGTTCAAAGATTTACAGATGTTTTAAAAGCATCCAGCATCCAGGGAATTTCGTAATTGATTGTGCAGTCAGTAGGGCTAATTATATACACACATAATTTCTTTGTTTTTCAGGGATGTTGTTTGCTTTTTCTTTTTCTTCAAAAATTTATTAATTTTATTTTATGTGTATGAGTGCTCTGTCTGCATATACATCTGCATGCCAGAAGAGGGCGTCAGATCCCAGTATAGATGGTTGTGAGCCACCATGTGGTTGCTGGGAATTGAACTCAGGTCCTCTTGGAAGAGCAGACAGTGCTCTTAACTACTGAGCCATCTCTCCAGGCTTTGTTTCCTTTTTCAAGACAGGGTTTCTCTGTGTAGCCTTGGCTGTCCTGGAACTCACTTTGTAGACCAGACTTGCCTTGAACTCACAGAAGTTCACCTGTCTCTGCCTTCTTAAATGCTGGGCTCACAGGTGTGTGCCGCCACCACCCAGCCCACAATTTTCTTTTTATATAAAGTCAATACTTCAGGCTTTCATTTCCATTTCACATTTGGAAGAAATGAGTAAATAAAATTCAAAAATAATAGATTGTAAAAATTTAGAATAACTTGGGGCTGGAGAAATAGGGCTTAGAAGTTAAAAGTACTTGTTGTTCCTACAGACGACCTGGGTTCAATTCCCAGAACCTACATGGTGACTCACAACCATCTGTAACTCCACTTCCAGGAGAGCTAATGCCCTCTTCTGACCTCTTCAGTCATCCGAAACACATGTGGTACAGATACATACATGCAAGCAAAACATTCATACACACAAAATAAAGTAAACCTCAAGTTTTTATTTAGTATAACTTAAGAATCAACCCCAAACAAAAATAAAACAAAAAGTGAAATTATATGTTTGTACTTTCTGTTTTCTGAGACAAAGTCTCACTGTGTAGACTGGCTGCTTTCCAAGTTACAAGGATCCTCTCTGCCTCTGCCTCTGCCTCTGCCTCTGCCTCTGCCTCTGCCTCTGCCTCTGCCTGCCTCTGCCTCTGACTCCACCTCCGCCTCCGCCTCTCTGCCTCTGCCTCCTCTTCCTCTCTGCCCCTGCCCCTGCCTCTGAAAATTTGTATTCCAGCCAAAAATTATACAAGAGGAAACAGATGTCTAAAATGTTGTCCTTGGGGCTAGGTGATTAAGAGCTCTGCCTGTTTTTCCAAAGAGTCTAAGCTCAGGTTTCAGCACCCACAGGGCTGCTTACAGTGTCCATAACTCCAGTTCCAGGGGATCCACCACCACATACAGACAAAACACCAAAGCACATAAAATAATAATAAACGACTTCCCCCCCTTTTTAAAGTTACTCTTTAAAGTGCAAAGCTACTATTGACAAACAAAAAACTCATCTTGATTTTTCTTTCCTCAAAAACTAGGTATGCAGTTTCAATGGCCAGAAGAATCGGAGCCAGAGTATATGCTCTCCCTGAAGACCTTGTGGAAGTAAAACCGAAGATGGTCATGACTGTGTTTGCATGTTTGATGGGCAGGGGTATGAAAAGAGTTTAAAATAACCAAGTCAGATGTTCCCAGGGGAAGTTCTCATGGCTTAAGGAATTCTTGGTCACGTGAAGGACTTTTAGTTTTGATTAACAAGACTAGCTCATCATGACAGCCTTCGGGAAAGAGTTTTAGGAACAAGCAACTCCTCTTTCCCCTAGAGTTGGATCTTTTCAGCACACTTGAACATGCTCACAGCCAACTGTTTGCTCTCTCCTTCTAGAATGCTGCCCTTGACATTTCCCATTGATATGTATTATCTATGTATCTTTTCCCTCTTGGGGTGTCCATCTCTGGAGACTAGCTTAGATGGGTAAATAGGACTATTATTAGCTCATCATTTTGCTCTTCAAGTTCTATCAGTTCTTACTGGAGAACTGTGCTCTGATACTATGTGGAGATGAGTGTCTTTTGCTTACTTTGTAGTGCTGAAAATCTGCTGGAGTAACTGGCTGTGCAGATTGTACTAGAAGCTTTTCTCATTCTTTTATTTTTAAAATCAGCGTCTTTTTACAGTATTCTTTCTACATGATTATTTTTTGTACATTTAAGAATATTTTGATTACATTCCATAAGCCTGGTGATTTGGTACTTTTTTAAAGGGGTCTTAAAGTAGGTTAAAAAAATGCATAAACTATATGTGGAGGAAAGTGGATCCTAAGGTTGCATTTCCCCCTCACACCCAGGCTCAAATGAAATGAAATATTTCATCTTCAGTAATTCAGTCTGATACATACTTTGTTTTGAAACCTTTATCACAAAAATCTCTTTTTATCTAAAATGCTGTTGAATAAGACACTTTTGAAGAGACAGTGAGATCAGAATTTAGATGGGATTTGGTAAGCAATATATCCAAGTGTACAATAGATTTTTAAATTTTACACCTATAACAAGAAAACGGTCACAGAAAACGGAAAGTATGTATGTCAGACTTGATGTACTATTGCTTTGTCAAGCTCTTTGCTATAGTTCTCAAGATCATTGTGTTAATCTAACTCTAAAAAGTAATGTAATCTGTTAGCAACATAGTAGTCCAAATAAAGGCATTTGCATAATAAGTCTCTCATCTTTTTTCCTTCCTTCCCTCCATCTTCTCTCCCTATGCCCTCCACTGATAGGGGAGGACCTCCTCCCCTTCTATCTGATTTGCTTTATTTAAAAGATGTCTCTGTGTGTGTGTTGCCATATGTGGGGGTGCCTGTGCCCAACAAAGTGAGCATTGGTTTCCCTGGATCTGGAGTTGCAATCTGCTTCATAAGGATGCTGGGCATCAAACTTGAAAAGAGCAGCAAGCATGCTTAATGGTGGAGCCATGTCTCCAGCTCATTGTTTTGTTCTTGAGATAGATCTCCTTGTGTAGCTCAGGGTGGCCTTGAACTTGAGTGTTTTCACTTTTTTTTTTTTTAACAAAATCTCAATCATTCAATTTTACCAATAAAGACTTGGGAGCCAGGTGCTGGGGTAAAGACCATTTAGCTTAGAGAGGCAAAGAAAGCACCCAGCTGACCATCCTTCTCAGCTGACTTCCCAAAAGATGTCTCCTTTTCCCCAAGCCATCACAAAAAAAAACTCAAACTGTATTCCCTACCTTGTATTTACTATGCTTCTCTCTATCTTTCCTCCTGACTTTGTTTTACTATCTATGCTTTTTCCTACATCCCCTTCTTGTCAAGTGGTTGCTTGCTCTGCCTCTTGATCTATAACTGGTTTTATTTAATTCAAGCAGAAACTTCTTGGATTAAATGTGTGTGTGTTAGGGCTTAGCCACACCACAACTAGAAACAGTAAGCAAGACAGTCTCGGGTTCACAGTGGGATCAAATATCCAGCAACACACTTCAGCTTCCCTAGTGCTGGTTTTGCAAGCATGCTTCACCAAATTGCCCTGAGTCCCCTCTTGGTGCTTCTTCCCCATACTGATATACCAATGTTGACCTGCATTTTCTCCTTTTTCTGTTATATTATATAAAATCATTTGTATTAAATTTGAGCTTTGAGGGCTGATTTAGAGGTGTGGAACTAAGAAGAGTACAAACAGATTTTAAGTCTAATGGTTTCCTCTAATTTACCAGATTTCCTTGGGTGAGTGTTTGTAGCTCAGTGGGAGAGAACATAACTGGGTTCAATCCCCATTCCCCTAAAAACATATTTTATCCACTGTATTCTTTTCTCTTTCTGTTCAGTTGTAATCTTTTCAATTTTCTCTAATGTAAAAATCCTGAAATGGGAGAATCTGACTGGTCAGAGTTGAGAAATGATTAAGGCAAGCTTTTTTATCCTCTTTACAGTTGTCACTGAGTCTGGACAACTGAGAGGTGGTAAGATGGGCCATCCTGAGCACTGCAGGTTGGTATAGGAGCATCAGGTAGCCTCTTGTCTACTAGATGCCAAGGCCATACTCCAGGTTGTATCTACCAAAATTATCTCCATCCATAGCCTATTGTTTCCTGGTATAAAACATTATCCCTAGCTAAGAAGCACAGAGGGTTAAGGTTCCCTTTTAAGGTTTTGCGTGATTAATAACATGAAGTACAGCCCTTTTAGAAACTAGTTACATGACAATATTATAAAACAATATTATAAGTTTGATAAGCATGGTGACACACACTTGTTGGTACAATACTTGGGACACTGGGGCAGAAGAAGGATGACATTTCTAAGACAGTCTCAGCAACATAGTGAAATCATGTCTCAGAAAGAAAGAAAAAAAGAAAGACAGAAAGAAAGGAAGGAAGGAAGGAAGGAAGGAAGGAAGGAAGAAAGAAAGAAAGAAAGAAAGAAAGAAAGAAAGAAAGAAAGAAAGAAAGAAAGGAAAGGAAAGGAAAGGAAAGGAAAGGAAAGGAAAGGAAAGGA